CAAACTACACTCACTAGAATAAAAAAAAATACATACAAATCAATTTGGATCATTCATTATGTTGTTAGATTATTTCAAATGCTTCAAACATTAATAAAAGGTCCAAACTGTCACATCCTCTTGTACCAAATTGTATTGTAACTGTAATGTCTACCTTCATTTTGTAAAGACCTGCACAAATTGTTGGTGCTATATAAATCTTGTATAATAATAATAATCATGTTATCCAAATGAAATAAGTGAATACGAATGAATGTGTTGTTTTCTTGATAATTTATTTTGGATTCGCTGAAATTCGTTACTATTGTGATACATCTGGATCTCCAATTTACGCAAATTTAGTCCGAATTTCGATCCTAACTAAATGAACTGCACATGAGATGCCTCCATCCATGCTTTTTAGTTGCTATTTCATCATGGACAGCAAGTTAGAACAAACAGCAAACATGAAATTCTGTGGGAAACTGGGCAAATGCAATGTATATTATAGATAAGTCATTCGAGGTGTTTTTGAGTGGCACGTGTGTTTCAAGAATGGAAGAACATCACTGGAAGATGACAAGAGATCAGGAAGACCTTCAACAAGCTCAACCCTTAAAAATGTCAAAACCATTCGGCAACTTGTGCATGATGATCGTTGGAGAACAAGTCCCAACATTGCTGCCACTGTTGATGTGTCATATAGAATAGTCTAGGCCAAAGGTGTCAAACTGCAGCCCTCTAGCTATTGAGAAACTTCAAGTTCTATCAAGCCTTTGCCTTTGGGAGTAATGCTTTCCACTGTCAGCCCTGCAATACCTCATGGGATTTGTATTTCCGCAACAGCTGGAGGGCCACAGTTTGACACCCCTGGTCTAGGCAATACTCACATGTGATTTCGAACATGCACTGTATTGCTGCAAAGTTCATTCCTAGGCTGCTGACCCAGGAGCAGAAGGAACACCGTGTTGATGTCTGCCATGAACTCCGTCAGTGTGCCATGGATAACCGTCCTTCAAGATGAGGATCATTACCGGTGACAAAATTTGGGTGTTTGGGTTTCACACAGAACTTCATGTTTGCTCTTTGTTCCAACTTGCTGTCCATGATGAAATAGCAGACATGGTAACGCACATGGTCAGAATAGCACCAGTTGCACAGCTCCCGATGTACACAGGACAATGTCTTTTGGCACACTGACTTATGAAGGTCAGTGCTCCCTGTGACTGTTAGAGCAGCCTTGTGCTGCAATCTACTGGCGTGTTACAAAACTAGTCTCAAATCTTTTTGATACCACTTTGTACAATTGCCTGCCCTGCAGATTTGGCCATCTACACTGTATAGAAAGGATAGAGGAATCTTTTAGATCTTGTTTTGTTGAGTCTGCAGACTAAGTAAAAGAAAAAGTTTATGGACATCATGTAGTTATCACAAAAAAATACATCTGATGCTCAGTCTGCTTTAAGAAGTTCAATTTTGTACTTGTGTTTCCTAATGAGTTACATGTCTCCATGTTTAGCTGCTCATAAACACAGACTCCTAGTTGCAAGCTTTTCTGAAAAAAAAAAAACCCAAACTATTCCATAAAATATCAAAGTTTCTGCTAAAGTAATGAAAACCGCAGTTTTTTGTATCCTTCCTTTGTCTTAAAGTGATAATGACTTACCAGTTAAAAGATTTAATATCCTGGAAGGTTAAAAAAAATCAGTGTAATTTACCAGCAATGAACTTGTTTACAACAGAAGACTATCAATCTGCTTATTTAATAAGAACCATGGACTAATATATGACTTCACCTGACAAGGAGGCAAACACCTAGCAAACATGTTGAAATTCTTTTAATCAGAAAATGGTAAATACTATTTAGATTGTTTGTAAAGACCTGTAAGGATGAGGGTTTTTTCCCATTGTCTGCAGCCAGACCTTATCAAAAAAGTGGTCAGAACTTTCCAATAGAAGTTACATCAGAAGTTGGGAGAACAGACTTGGCTATTGTGGCTATTGAAGGCAAATTTCCCAGCATTAGTTCAAAAGTTGTAAATATTTTAGTGATGATCTAAGCATACAAAAAAAACCCAACAAAAAAACAAAAAAAATAGAACTACCATATGAAATCACTTCTGCAGTTAGCAACAAAATGTCATCTGTATTCACTCGGGTTACAGTGAAAATACACTCATAAATACAAAAATATTGCCTTGCTTTCAATGTTATGATGATACATGGTAATATTACAATAATTTATACATAAGGTAGCTTGAATTCCTCTAGTTTTTCTTTTAACCACTTGCCTACTTGGCATTTTTACCCCCATTCTTCCCCAGGCCAATTTCCAGCTTTCAGCGCTGTTGCATTTTGAATGACTATTGCGCAGTCATGCAACACTGTAGCCATATGAAATTGTTATTTTTTTCACACAAATAAACTTTCTTGCGGTGGTATTTAATCTCCACTGGGGTTTTTATTTTTTGCAGTAGAAACAAAAAAAAGAGCAAAAAATTGGAAAAAAAAAAAGTTTTTCTTTGCTTCTGTTATAAAATTTTGCCAACAGTTAATTTTTCTTCTTCACTGATGTGGAATGATGAGGCTGCACTGATAGGCAGCACTGATAGGCAGCACTGACAAGCACTGATGAGGTGGTACTGATAGGCAGCACTGATGAGCACTGATAGGCTGCACTGCCAGGACAGTACAAATACCCCTAAATTACCCTTTTTTGGAAAGTAGACAGTCTGAGGCATTTAGTAAGAGGCATGGTGAGTCTTTTGAATTTGTAAATTTTTGTCAACTATTTTTGGAAAATGACAAAGTTAAATACATTTTTTTTCTCAATTTCTTTTTACATACTGCCACCGGTGCAGCACACCATCATCATATGACTGGTGTGGTGATGATCAGGGATACTGATCGGTGACAGTATGATTAAAATAAACAAATAAAAACATTTTTGAATTACATTTTTTTTACTTTTTTTTACATTTTTTTTGTTTTAACTTTTTTTTCTTACTATTTTTTTTTACATACTTTCATTAGAGTAGTTCAGTGTCACCATGGTAACACTGTACTAGTCTGGGGGTGGGGATTTTTTTTTATATATTTTGAGTGCTATTACAGTGATTTTGTCTGTAACATCAATGTTTTGAACTGTCATGAATAGGTTTCATTCATACCAGCTGTGATTAATATTGTGTGCTGTGATTGGCCCACAGATATCACATGGTACAGGGTGATGTGATTGTTCCAGGAACAGGGGCGGACTGACCGCTTGGAAACTCGGGCACCGTCCGAGGGCCCGGGGTCAGTAGGGGGCCCCATGAGATGCCCCTGGTACCTTTTTCATAGGCTTTTTTGAGTTTGGGCAAGGACACAGGGGCCCCATGATCCCCTATTGCCCATTGGGCCCCATGAGTTGTCAGTCCACCCCTGCCCAGGAACCATGTGATAGCTGTGGGTTAATCACAGCATCACAATACTAAGCACAGCTGGTATGAAGGAAACCCATTCATAACAGTTGTGTTTACATTGTGGTCATGTGATCACATAGCAATCAAGTGATTCCCTGGCTACTCAACAGGATACCCTGGGAGCCAGTGGACACATCGGTCACATGAGTGACGTGCTGCACTCCCATTAGCCAGCGACATACATGTTCGTGATTGTGCCTGGCTGAGCCACCCACCCACAGTAAAATTACTGTGGGCAGGACAGCAAGTGGTTAAAGAATAACTTAGAGCTGTTGGATCTGAAACCAACTACAATAAAGACCCACACAACATGATGCTTGTTACTACACGAACACTGCAGCACACCTAACTGGCACTTGTGCTGTTTCTACCTTGGTCGGTACCAAAATAAATTCAGGTACAATTTTATATAGTCCCTTTTACCTTACTAATACTGACCAACAATATGATTACCTTACTATTAATATTATGCTCAATGTTTACATGAGAAATATCAGCAAATACATAAAAATACACAATTACAACATACAGAAAAGTAGCAAAAAGGCAGATTATAACAACCAAAACACCTAATATGTACAAAGTACTGGTACACATAAAACAAAGCTATTTAAAGGAATAACTGTTTGAAATGTGTTTCCTCTTCTTCTAGTATTTATAAACCCAGTATAAACTCCTGTATTACAGATCGTACGACAGCATTATGTGTTGCACGTTATTTTCAGTAAATAGATTCTCAACACATTACTGACTCAGTACAACAAAAATGGATCAAGTTCTTTTTATCCTGCACCTCAGGCTGAAGAACTATAAATAAACACATGAATGTGAAAAAATAAACTAGATAAGAAAAATGTTTAATTGGAGCTTTGATCTCTGGATAGCTGATGCATTGTAAAAGTGTTCCCACTTTAGCTCCTCTAAACAACTCTACTAATGGATTCCATCTAATTGGTCTAGAAGCTCCTTTGGAAGATAGATGGCTAAGCTTGTCCCCCAAAGGGGCTCACTTTCTAAGCGCTGAGCTCAAAGGTATGAATTATTAACAGCACCGGTGATGGAATACTCTTTTAGCAAAACGGACTAAAGAAGCCATTAACATAAGCTGAATGATCAATAGTGGGATGGAGGAAAAGATAAACGTAAGCTCATTCATTACCTATGCAGGCTTAATGCTTGGTGCTTTTAACGCTTTCCTTTACCTAAACCCACAGTTCGGGAAAGGGACAAAGCAGATGAAGGCAATTTGATTTGTTGATTGGTCTGCTATTTTGGTCTTCCATATACTGGTAAACCGAACTATTAGTAACATTTGCTGCTCTGCCCTCACTATCCAATCATACTGTTGAAAAAGCTATATTGCTTTGACAGCTGTGGCAAAAAAGTAAAATGTTCAGAAGCATATGTAGTGTCTGGCAGAGTGTCTGAATGAGAAAACTGCCAGAACATAATTATATGCGTTTTGGGCAGGTAAGACAGTTCACATATATGTAATACAAACACATGATGTATTTACGTGCTTGTCTACATTGCTAGTGGACATAACAGTTTAACCACTTCCCGTCCGGCCCATGTACATAAACAGCCGGACGGGAGCGCTGGCGGAGCGGGTGGACATTTCTAAACATCCCCCCACATCCATTGCCTGTGCGCGAGCCCTGGGAGCTTGCGGCACCATGATCAGAACACAGATCGCTGTACGGGCCTTTGTGTGAGGTCCCGATTCATGTGATCACATGAATAGTAGTAAGCAAGATGTCACTTGCTGACATCATTGCTTACTACTAGTGAAATCTGTGAATGATCACAGAGGTCACATGGTACAAAGCTATTTACAACAGCCTTGTACCATGTGACAAGCTGTGACCAATCACAAACCTCATAGTATTTCTCAATGGCTGCAAGAATGCAGCCAGAGAGAAGGAGAAATTATTGATTTTACAGCCTTTACAATCAGTGTAAAAAAAGAAAAAATCTTCATCACCCCCCACAAGTAGTAGTGTGACTATGGTGACACTGTACTGCTAGGGTGACAGCATGTTAAAAAAAACCATAAATAATGATATAAAAAAAAATATAATAAAAATGTAAAAAGAATTTTTTGAATTACAATTTTTGGTTATAAACTAATTTGGGTTATTTTTTTTTTTGTACTAAAAAGATAGATGAATACATTTTGGCCAAGATTTATTTAGAAGAAAGATTATTTATTTGCAAAATAAAAACTTTTTTTTCACAATTTTCGACTTTTGCATTTATATAGCAAAAAAATTAAAATCCCAGCGGTGAATAAATACCACCAAAATAAAGTTTTATCTGTCTCAAAAAAATGCTAAAAAATTCATATGGGTACAGTGGTGCATTGCCGCGCAATTATCATTCGAAGTGTGATAGCACTGAAAGCTGAAAATTGGCCTGGACAGGAAGGGGGTAAAAGTGTCCAGACTTGAAGTGGTTAAAGTGGCTCTAAAGTCAATACGTTTTTTTTACCTTAATGCATTCTTTGCATTAAAGTGAGAAATGCCCTTTACTTTAATTGCTCCAGTGCTGTCCCAACTTCAGAACCACTTCCCTCACATCCTGCTTTCACAGGAATCACTGGGAGCTGAGTGAGCCATAGGCTCCTGCTGCTGTCAGTCAAACTCCAGTGAGAAGGGAGTGGGGGGTGTGAACTGTGTGTTTTTGGCTATGGACGCTCACAGCCTGGATTAGGAGCATGCACACATGGGTACCTCTATAGCACCTGGCTTGCTAAGGAGATACCTGGAGTAAGAAGAATTTGACAGAGTTGGTTGGGCACTGCCAGAAGTGGAGGTAAGGGACTTTTCTGCGTAATATTGTTGCACAGAGCAGGTAAGTATAGTCACTTTTTAAACATTTTTTTATATATTTTTATTATTTTGCAAGAAAAGATTTTTGAAAATAATACAAATCAATAACAGTGGTAAGTACAACAAGATAATAAGATAAGTGATATAGAAGGTGAACATGCAATCTTGTCTCTCACAACACAAAATTACTGTCATTCTGTGTCATTATTATTTTATTTTTTGAACATTTCAAGAAATGATCAATTCTATATCATGAATTAAATCAAAGCATCATGTGTAATGGCTATCATTAAGCTTGAAGAGAGGAGGAACAATAAACCAGTAGAATAATTGTATGTATCCATCTTAACATCGAAAAATATCTAATTGAATAACTTAACTTAAATTAAATTTAGAAATAACAAAGAAATGAAACATATAAAGATGAGAAAAGAAAAAAGGAAAATTAGCCCAGGGAAAAATTCACCTAAGTGAACATTATGTTCCAAGCAATATGTATTATTATTTAAGGTAAATCAGTTATGAATGTAGTTATGAGTTTAGTTATGGATTTATTTATGAATTAATTTAGAATGGTGGGGATAGATTGCTTATTAAATTTGTAGTCTGCCCAAAGAATTTGTAAGGACAGCTCTATGGCACCAGTCTATTTAAATGGTGTCATTAGGCGTACAATTTCTGAATTTGAAAGTGAACGTTCAATAAAGAGTAACCAGCTTGAGAAAAAACGTTTGGTAGGGCTAAATGATTGGGCTATGGCTCTTTTTTTATTTTACAGTATATGTCCACATACTTTTTTTTTTCTGTTTTGGATAGAGGGGAGGATTCAAGCCCTTGTTGCTACTATCTGGGACTCTATTAACCACTTGCCGCCCAGCCACTGCATATAAACGGTGGCAGGGCGGCGCTCGTAGGCAAAAGCACGTTTTAAAATGGCTGCCTTCAAAACAGGTAGGGGGCGCACGCGAGGCGCGTGCCCACCCTACCTGTCCCGCGGGTGTCAGCAGCGGGTGTCAGCCGACGGGTCACGGACAGTTTTTACCGGCCGTTTTCCCGCGATTGCCGGTGATCGCTAACACAGAGCAGGGCTGCATTGTTTACACACAGCCCTGTTCTGTGTCAGTTCTCTGACAGCTTGTGAGAAGCTGCAGAGTTTCTCTCCCTCGATCAGCTCCCCCCTCCCTCCCCCCATCCAGTACACACCCCCGCCCCCTAGTAAAACACTCCCCTTACACTGCAAATTCTAAAAATGTTAACCCCTTCCTCCCCAGTGACATTAGTACAGTTTCAGTGGTTTTTTTTTACTGATCACTGTATTGGTGTCACTGGGTATGTCAATGACCCCAAGTCAGTCCCCCCCCAGTGTCAAAATGTCCGCCGCTGTCCCGCAGTCCTGCCATAAGTCGCTGGTGCCGCCATATGTCGCTGATTGGCGCCATTATTAGTATAAATAAAAATTAAAAATTCCAGTATCTTTCCCGACATTTGTAAACGCTATAACTTTCACGTAAACCAATTAATTTACACATATTGGGACATGTCGCAGAATGCATTTTGGCAGAAATTTATGACTAAATTTGATTTTTGCATTTTTTTTTACTGGACATGTTTTATAGCAAAAAGTCCAAAATATTGTTTTTATTTCCTCAAAATTGTCAGCCTTTTTTTTTTATAGCGCAAAAAATAAAAACCGCACAGGCGATCAAATACCACCGAAAGAAAGCTCAATTTGTGGGGAAAAAAATGTAAATTTCATTTATGTACAGTATTGCATGACCACGCAATTGTCCGTTAAACTAGCGCAGTGCTGTATAGCAGAAAAATGGCGTAAATTGCAGTATTTATACCATAGTTTGTAGACGCTATAACTTCCACACAAAGCGATCAATATACACTTATTGGGATTTTTTTGCCAAAAACATGTAGCAGAATACATTTTGGCCTAAATTTATAACCAACTTTGAGTTTACGATATATTTTTTATAGCTGAAAGTAAAAAATATTGTTTTTCTTCAAAATTTTTGGCCTTTTTTTGTTCATAGCGTGAAAAATAAAAAGCGCACAGGTGATCAAATTACACGGAAAGAAAGCTCTATTTGTGTGAAAAAAAGGACGTAAATTTCGTTTGGGAGCAGCATTGCATGACCGCGCAATTATCAGTTGAATTAGTGCAGCGCCGAGTAGCAAAAAGAGGCCTGGTCATTAAGGGGGGTAAATCCTCAGGTGCTCAAGTGGTTAAAGAGATTTCTGTCAAGACAACACAAGTTTTACGAAAAGTGAGGAAAAATCTTCAACAGGAACACAGGCAGCAATAAATAGCTTACAATGGTTCTAGCATACCCCTACTCTGATCATTTAAAAATGTATTTTTGTCTGTTTTGCTTATTGATATTTTCCCTATATGGGCCTACAAATACAGTAATAATCAATATATTCTCCTGCATTTTCACTATTTTTAAATGTATTTTTACAAATTAAAAGAAAATACCAGATTAAAAAAAACACATTATCTGCTTGAACTACTCATACGCATTTACAGTATAAATGCTTTAACCCCAATTTACTTAGAACATTTCAAATCAAGGTGATTTGACTGTTTTCATGCAGTGATACCTGAAAGCATTGTACTGCCATCATAGCACAGACAGCCTAATATTTATTGGACCAAAGAAACTGTTGTTACCAGATGATATGTTTAAGAAAACATTTAATGAGAATAGTAACTTCCAGCCTTTCACATAGCCCGAAACTGGCATAACATCAGAGAAAATGGAAGGGTACATACAGTCATGGCCGAAATTGTTGGCACCCTTGATATTTTTCCTGAAAATCAAGTATTTCACACAAAAAAGGTATTGCATTAACACATGTTTTGCTATACACATGTTTATTCCCTTTGTATGTATTGGAACAAATATAAAACAGAGGCAGAAAAGCAAATATGACATAATGTCACACAAAACCCCAAAAATGGGCTGGACAAAAGTATTGGCACCCTTAACTTAATATTTGGTTGCACACCCTTTGGAAAACATAACTGAAATCAGTCGCTTCCTATAACCATCAATAAGCTTCTGACACCTCTCACCCGGAATTTTGGACCACTCTTCCTTTGCAAACAGCTCCAGGTCTCTCTTATTGGAAGGACACCTTTTCCCAACAGCAATTTTAAGATCTCTCCACAGGTGTTCAATGGGATTTAGATCTGGGCTCATTGCTGGCCACTTCAGAACTCTCCAGCGCTTCTTTGCCATCCATTTCTGAGTGCTTTTTGACGTATGTTTGGGGTCATTGTCCTGCTGGAAGACCCAGGATCTTGGACGCAAACCCAGCTTTCTGACACTGGGCCCTACAGTGCGACCCAAAATCCTTTGGTAATCCTCAGATTTCATGATGCCTTGCACACAGTCAAGGCACCCAGTGCCAGAGGCAGCAAAACAACCCCAAAACATCATTGAACCTCCACCATATTTTACCGTAGGTACTGTGTTTTGTTCTTTGTAGGCCTCATTCCGTTTTCGGTAAACAGTAGAATGATGTGCTTTACCGAAAAGCTCTATCTTGGTCTCATCTGTCCACAAGACGTTTTCCCAGAAGGCTTTTGGCTTACTCAAGTACATTTTGGCAAACTGTAGTCTTGCTTTTTTATGTCTCTGTGTCAGCAGTGGGGTCCTCCTGGGTCTCCTGCCATAGCGTTTCATTTCATTTAAATGTCGACGGATAGTTCGCGCTGACACTGATGCTCCCTGAGCCTGCAGGACAGCTTGAATGTCTTTGGAACATGTTTGGGGCTGCTTATCCACCATCCGGACTATTCTGCGTTGCAATCTTTCATCAATTTTCCTCATCCGTCCACGACCAGGGAGATTAGCTACAGTGCCATGGGTTGCAAACTTCTTGATAATGTTGCGCACTGTGGACAAAGGCAAATCTAGTTCTCCGGAGATGGACTTGTAACCTTGAGATTGTTGATATTTTGCCACAATTTTGGTTCTCAGGTCCTCAGACAGTTCTCGTCTCCTCTTTCTGTTGTCCATGCTTAGTGTGGCACAG